CTCCAGTCTTCAGTGTCACATGATCTTCAGAAATCAGTATAATATGCTGATCTGCTGCTCGAGAAACATTTCTGATTATTATCAATGTTGAACACAGTCGTGTACATTTTTTTTCAGGATTCTTTGATGAATAGAAAGATTTAAAGATAAAAAATATCTGAAATAAAAAGCTTTTGTAACATTGTACACTCTACCATTCAGAAGCTTGGAGTCAGTATAATTATAGAAATTAATACTTTTATTTAGCAAGGATGCTTTAAATTGATCAAAAGTAGCATTTATAATGTTACAAAAGATTTCTATTTCAGATAAATGCTGTTCTTCTGAACTTTCTATTCATCAAAGAAACCTGAAACAATTCTACTCAGCTGTGTTCAGCACTGATAATAATAATAAATGTTTCTCGAGCAGCAGATCAGCATATTATACTGATTTCTGAAGATCATGTGACACTGAAGACTGGAGGAATGGTGCTGAAAATACAGCTGCGCATCACAGAAATACATTACAGTTTAACACAGATTCACAGAGAACAGTTACTTTAAATAAACATATTTTACTGCTTTTGCTGTACTTTGGTTCAAATAAATGCAGGCTTGGTGAGCAGAAGAGACTTCTTTTAAAAAAAAAAAACACATTAAAATTACCGTCCAGAAAGGTTTGACTGGTCGTGTATAAAGGAGCTGAAATGTGGAAGAAACATCTGAGTGCATTGTAGCCTGATGTCTTTGTGGCTGTATGTTGACTGGCTGCTCAAGACATGAGATCATGCTAAATGGGAATTACAAAGCTATAAATTGTGGAAGACCAGTTACATAATTCTCCTGTACATGCCTTGAACATTGAGATGTGATGTGGATTTAAAAAAAATCCATATTTGTCAACTACCCAAATGCACTGGCGTTTTACGGGTGACTGAAGGGTTAGTTAACTGTTTACTGACTCATGTCGTTCTGTGGAACACGAGGAGAATCTTTATCATGGCTGTCAGGCTCCAGAAATGCCCATAAAAGCAGCAGTCGTCCACATGCCAGGGCTTGAGGTCACTGAGGATTGCTCAGATGTTTTCCTTTTGCATTTCACAGTCAACATTAGAGAGAGTCAATGATGACTGAATTCCCGTTTTTGGGTGATTAAAACACTTTTTTTTATTTCTCTAAGCTGATTCATGTCCCAGTCAGTGAGTTTATGCATGAAAAACAAATCTTCTGCCGTATCTTATTTGCCTTGTTTATGTCTGAGGTCATCAGTCACGATCGTTTCACTGCACGTGTTTCTCCTCATGCCACAGAGTAATGAATGTGACTCATTAAACAGTTCAGATTGCCGTTTATGTCCGTGGTGTTTTATGACGCACGTGGTTGTGGTGATGTACTGTGAGCTGACTGTATTGATGATTACATTTGGGGTGTGTGTTACTATTATGGCTGGACGATGTGGCCAAAAATTCATATCTCTCTATTTTTTGGCTGATTTACGATATACGGTATATATATATATATATAGCTCTGTATTTTCTGCGTTTTTGCATTTGGATTTTAAAAAAATCAGTGTGTGTATATAGATGTCTAACAAGCCATACATCAATGGAAAGCTTATTTATTCAGCTTTCAGATGATGCATTAATCTCACTTTCAAAAAAATGACCCTTATGACTGGTTTTGTGCTCCAGGGTCACATGTTAACATGCATTCTCACATTCATTGTCATGTATTGGTCTGTTTGCAGAAGCGCTTCAGCGGCCGGATTTCGAGGCCCCGGGTCTGTCCGAGGCGGCGCGCTGGAACTCCAAAGAGAATCTGCTGGCGGGACCCAGCGAAAATGACCCCAATCTGTTCGTAGCGCTGTATGACTTCGTCGCGAGCGGCGATAACACTCTCAGCATCACCAAAGGTCAGACACGCATCGCATGCTTCATCATCCGAACACGTTAAACACCGTAATCACTGCTAGCTTCAACGCCACAGAAATTAACATCTGTCAATAATGTGCTAGTGAACATACTCCTTTTAATTATGAAAGTTTTAAAGTTGTTAAATTGACCCTCATGTTGTATTCCGGTCATTTGGATCTGGAGAGGATTTTCCTTTTCCCCGAAAATGCTAGTTAATGACATTAGAATAAAACAAGCACAGGGTGTAACAATCCCCCCCACATTGGTACTCTTGTGGTGTTTCCAGGTCAAAAATGACCAGCCTACAAAAAATTGCATTATGCTATTTGTATTCAATCCTTTTATCAACTTGTTTTCTTTCGATTAACACAGGTTTTGTTTGTTTTTGGAGATGATTGATCATAGGCCTCATTGATCTGAGCTTGTGCACCTCAATTTTAGTGAATATGGCCAAAACTATCCGTAAATAATGTTTTTTCACTCCTAAACTGAGGAGCATTGAGATCTTTGATCAGTCAGCTGATTAAAGAAACACAAAACCTAAGCTAATTAAAAGAAAACAAGTTGACAAAGAGCTTTTCTGATAATATCGTATAACAAGATTACAAGCAATTTTTAAAAGGGCGGTCATTTTTGACGAGGAACACCAAATGAGGTGAAGAAACCGTTTACAGTAAAGTCTCCTTTAAGATGGGCATCAACAGCAGAATGCACATTAGTGAATGAGTGTTTATTTGGGACTCCTGCAGTCACCGCATGAGAGAAGCTGCTCTTTGTTCCGCCGTTTATTAGCAGTCATATGAGGTCACATGTCTGACTGGAAATCCACATATTTGCTGCGCATTCTTCATCTCCTCCTCTTCCTTTATCTTACTCAACATGTCAGTTCTTTCCATCCGGCCCGTGAAAATCAGTGAGGGGAAGATCTACAGCCATCCAGACGCCCCTCACTTCATTAGATAACGACAGCGTGTGGATTCAGTGCCTGGAATAACGATATTTCACCGTTTTATAACGAGCTGTTATTAGTGCATCTCCTATAGATGTCCCAGACAGGAGGTTAGTTAGTACAGCTTTGTTCATTCAGCAGATGCTTTTATCGAATGCGAACCCCGCAAGCAATTCGTCGAAGAGCCAAAAATAGTACACATAGTGTCGCAAGTCTTTATGATAAACACTTCATGAATTTGATGGAGATCAAAAATGAAAAAAGGAGGATTTTGCGCTTGGTTCCATTCACATGTAACACGATTGCAAGTCAATAATAGAATCCATCAAAAAGCAAAAACACTCAATTCTTTGATTATGCATCCAAATAAAAGGTTGATTCTGTATTTCTCTGTATCTCCTCTGGATGTATTTGTAAATTGCCAGTGAAGTAAATGGTCTGTCACTGATTCATTCATTTAATCGATTAGATACACGTGTGTTGATAATGTGAGGAGCTGAATCGAAAAATGAAGCGTTTCGATAGAAAGTGAACCCTGAGGGAGGTCCTGCATGACCGAAACATCTGTCGATTTTAATATGCTCTGACTGAGCACTTTATAAGAATAAAAGAAGAATGCTAGTATCTCGGCATGTAATCCTTTTATTCGGATGCATAGCAAACGAATTTCAAGAATTGAGTTTTTTTAGCTGTTTGATGGAGATCAGACATCTAATGTGGATGAGCTGATCACTGACAGCCGCTAGGCATCAGAATCGCTTCACATGAGAACATATCTATAACGGGAAGCCATGTGTAAGTTCTTATTTGCACCGTCATTTTAAAAAGGCAAATTCTTGCTGCGTTCCAATTAAAAACCAACTCCTTGAAGTGCATCTAAATATACTTAATGAGCTTGTGCTATGCAAAATGATGCCGTTTTTTTTTCTTAGAGCCAGCGGACACTAGGGCTGCAGAGTTAATTGTATTTTAATCATAAACCAAAAGCATTTCGACACCCTGGGTTGCCAGTTGCTGGAAAACACAGCGTATTGCACCCATGGAAGCCAGCAAACTCAGTCAGAGATCGCAGATTCTACCTGAGCTAAAAAGCTTCAGCAGTCATAGGAAAGTTTCTTTGACCAGAGGCGTTTTTTTTAAACGCAGATAAATCAACTTGTAAGGCTCGTCACCTTCAATTGACCTATCGGTAAGCCCCTCCCCTCGAACGCAGATGAGCCAATGGCAGTTGAGTATCAGTTGCACAGAAAGCAGACCTCGGACATCTGTAGGTTTCAGCGCCATAGAGAAAGAGCTTGCATCGTTTTTATGGGGTTTATGCTTCAAAAATGGAAAAACGTTGTGTCTGGGGTACTTGTAACACTGATTCCAGGGATCCTGAGAGCATAGGCAATGGGATTTATTTTATTATATTTCCTAAACCCAATCAAACCGAAGCAAAGTGTCCCAAAGCATTCCCCCCCAATCCCAATTATGACAAAAACGTTCGTTTTCTGGTTGTCATACACTCATTAAGTTATAAAGTTGTCACTTCCAGACATCATTGGTAATGTTATTGTTTTAGTGTTTATGCAAACAAAATATAATAAATATTAAAAATAAAGCTTAAAGCTTGTAAATCGAAACCTTTGATGCAGCGGGAGTAGATGTGCATCTGTTTTTAATTCACACTTTCCACGATTACAACGGCACAGCTGTAAATCAATTATTTTTCGGCCTTAACTCTTTCCCTGCCATTGACGAGTTATCTCGTCTTTTAGAAGACAGCGCTTCCCCGCCAAAGACGAGTTTTTACGGCTTTCCGTGTTTTCACTGTTATACACTCGGAGCGCTATTACACATCTTCTGAACGAGTACAAAACCTCCCGAACAAAAACACATGTGTACAGGACGGAGAAACCAGCGATGTCTTATGCAAACAGATGCATATGAAAAATAATGCGATCGTCAGCAATAGACAGCATATAAATGAAAACGGCATAATGCTACGGAGTGAAATGTTGATCCAGGACGTGGTATATGTCTGCAAGCTTTGGAGGCGTTGTTGGAAGCGATTTACTGGATTTATGCTTTGATAATCGTACTGAATCCAGATCTAGTTTTTGATAAATTAGATTTTCACAACTTTTTGCTCAAAATGCATTTATGAAACCTACCTATATTGAAGTGTTGCTGAAAAAGAATGCTTTAAGCTAGAATGAAACAGATTTTTTTTTGTTTTAGTAGAGGCTCTGATCTTTAGTTTGGTGTATTGCATATTCAAATATTCATACAGCAAAATATACTGGAGGCCATCAAATTTTAGTGAAAATCATCAAAATCGCTGGCGGGGAAAGAGTTAATAGACATTGAAATGACTTTGACATAATGCTCTGATCAGGAGAGAAGCTGAGGGTTCTGGGATACAATCACAATGGCGAGTGGTGCGAGGCGCAGACCAAGAACGGCCAGGGCTGGGTTCCCAGCAACTACATCACGCCCGTCAACAGCCTGGAGAAGCACAGCTGGTACCACGGGCCCGTGTCCCGCAACGCCGCCGAGTACCTTCTGAGCAGCGGCATCAACGGCAGCTTCCTGGTGCGCGAGAGCGAGAGCAGCCCGGGACAGAGGTCCATCTCGCTGCGCTGCGAGGGCCGCGTCTACCACTACCGCATCAACACGGCCTCCGACGGCAAGGTGAGCTTCAGAACCAGAGAGTGTTTCTACTGATGCTTCACAAGCCTGACAGCAGTGACAGTGAAGTGATTACAGATAATATCAGATTATACACATCTGATTAGCGGCGGCTGAAATACACAATCTCACTAGTCTGAAATATACTTTTACATGTAGTCGTTTAGCAGATGCTTTTATCCAAAGCGACTTACAAATGAGGACAATAAAAGCAATCAAAACTAACAAAAGAGCAATGATATGCGAGTGCTATAACAAGTCTCAGTTAGCTTAACACTGTACATGTAGCAAGGTTTGTTTTTTTCTTTAATTATATAATAAATCAAAAGAAAACAGATAGAATAGAGCAAGCTAGTTTTCTTTTAAGAAAACAAGCAGTTAGTAAATGAATGGAATGCAAGTCTAAGTTTTTTATTTTTTAAAGAATAGAGTTAGAATAGAAAGTGCTAGAGTTAGAGGGCCAAATAAAGATGGAACAGATGTGTTTTTAGTCGTTTCTTGAAGATGGCTAAGGACTCAGCTGCTGGGATTGAGTTGGGCAGGTCATTCCACCGGGAGGGAACAGTTAATGTAAAAGTCTGTGAAAGTGATTTTGTGCCTCTTTGGGATGAACAATAAAGCGCCGTTCACTTGCAGAACGCAAGCTTCTAGAGAGCAATTTCGTTTGAGAATGCTGCGTGATGTGTACAAATAAAACTAGTTTGGAATATCTAGGGCCGTATGATTTCTGCGATGCGGAAAACACGGACGGAATCCAAGTCATAGAAACGGAATTTACTGTGTAACGCGGAATGTCACGAGATTTGCCAAATTTAGGACGGATGCATCAAAAGTAGGTCAGTACACCTAAATCAGACCATGAACTAAATCAGATATGGACTAGTGTCACTGAATATTAAACCGCAAAAATACTATTTGACTATGAATCCTGCATGTTCTGCGTGTCTCTGTGTGAATGAATGGCGCATTTAATAAAATCAATTAATTAGAGAAGCTTCTGATTCTTAATATTTAATGAAACCATTAAAATGGAATCCAGAAAATGTATGGTAAACTGAATTTTGTTAAAAAAAAATTTTAAAAAAAAAAAACATTTGGGGGGGGACGGTTTAAAAGGCCTGAATGCAATTTTTGTTAAACTTTTAATAAATCTGCATATCATTGCTCTTTTGTTGATTTAGATTTCTTCCGTTGTCCTCATTTGTAAGTGGATTTAGATAAAAGCGTCTGCTAAATGACAATGTAAATTTAAATTGCTGTTTAATATAGTACGTTTCTTGATTTCAATTAATTAGACATGATTTTTGATTAATACAATTTAAATGTAACCATTAAACCAGAGTCTAGGGGGAAAAAAACATAATCTGGAAAAATTTAAATGGAAAAAATGGAATTTGGGAAAAAATAGAACCGATTTCATAGGGCCCTAAATATCTCATTTTTAAAAGCTCAAGCCCTTTTCAGTCGTTGATGAGTGAGTCCATGTGTCACGCATGCACTGCTGCGCTCATTCCTCGCATGCCTGACGCGCCTCGGCCGCCTCACACTTCCCTGCTGGAATCTCCAGTGTAAGCCGTCAGGAATGAGCCCCACACACCATTCCAGCTCAGCTGCTCACTTTTAACCTGCTCTGAGGGTTCAAAATGTACACAATTGCTTAAACGTTGGCAATTAGTAAGGATAGCTGCTTTTAATAATTACACAGCCGGTATCATATAACTCCATTCAGGACACTCGACAGATAAACATGACATGAATCTGAGTTCTTGACCCTCCTGCTACAGCTGAAGCATATGGATGAATAAAGTATTCAAAATGCAGTTATCACACCAATGAATAGTTAAAAAGGTGCATTTAAACACACTCGAATGCACTGAAGAAGCCTCATTAATGCATTCACGCAGGAACAACCAGGATTTAACAGGAAACAGTGTATCACTCTTGAATGTTACAGTGTGTTAACTCTTGCTCCTGCTACAGCTGAAGCATATGGATGAATAAAGTATTCAAAATGCAGTTATCACACCAATGAATAGTTAAAAAGGTGCATTTAAACACACTCGAATGCACTGAAGAAGCCTCATTAATGCATTCACACAGGAACAACCAGGATTTATGATTTAATGTTTCAGATGGATGTCTTTAGCACATAACGTTTAAAAGAGATTGATATTTACATGTTTACATGCTTTGTTTCAGTTATGGCTGTTTATATCAAGTCTGTGGATAAATATAGTCTCTGAAGTGGCTTCGAAAATGCACATTTATATCATTGCACAAGTTATGCAACAACTATTCATACTCGCGTGAGATGTGAAATGCTGGACTCAAATCATTTTAAAACATTGGTTATATTTGACCCTGGACCACAAAACCAGTCATAAGGGGTTTTTTTTTTTGCTGAATAAATAATCTTTCCATTGATGTATGGTTTGTTAGGATCAGACAATATTTGAAAATCTGGAATCTGAGGGTGCAAAAAAATCTAAATATTGAGAAAATCATCTTTAAAGTTGTTCAAATGAAGTTCTTAGCAATGCATATTACTAATCAAACATTGTTTATGGTAGGAAATTTACAAAATATCTTAATATCCTAATGATTTTTGGCATAAAAGAGAAATGTATAATTGTGACCCATACAATGTATTGTTGGCTATTGCTACAAATATCCCCCAGCGACTCAACACTGCTTTTGTGCTGCAGGGACACAGATGAGAAAACATGAATTTAAAAAAAAGATGTGCACTGATAAAACATTTATAATAAACCTTGCATATTCCTTAGAGATAGGAATAGTCCATTTTGTTTTCATGGTGACTTTAATGCGATGTCTCCTGGGTTCAGCGGCCAGTCGTTTTATCTTAACTTGTGTATTGTGTCTTCTGCTGGGTTTGTAGGCTCGGTTCTGTGCTGTTATCTCGCTCACGCTCTCGTGTCTGTTCCTCTGCAGCTGTATGTTTCGTCGGAGAGCCGCTTTAACACTCTGGCGGAGCTGGTTCACCATCATTCCACCGTGTCTGACGGTCTGATCACCACGCTGCATTACCCAGCGCCCAAACGCAACAAGCCCACCATCTACGGCGTCTCGCCCAACTACGACAAGTGGGAGATGGAGCGCACAGATATCACCATGAAGCACAAGCTGGGAGGAGGGCAGTATGGAGAGGTGTACGAGGGCGTCTGGAAGAAATACAACCTGACCGTGGCTGTCAAAACACTGAAGGTCAGAGACACGTCGAGAACGCATCACACTGCAAAAAATGATTCTCTTACTTAGTATTTTCGTCTTGTTTTCTAGTATAAATATCTAAACATTTTTCAAAAAAATTGTTTTCTTAAAAAAAAAAAAAAGTTTTTAATTTTTGTTAGTTTTTGCTTAAAATTAACAAATATCTGCCAGTAGGACAAGAAAAATTATCTTAATTCAAAGGCTAAAAAAGAACCCTATTGGCACCCCTTTACTCATTTTTAGCAAAAACTAACAAAATTGATAATTTTTTCAGAAAACAAGACGCATCTTATTTAATTCAAGATGCATTCACAAGTAAAATGACATAAGATATTAAGTCTTCTTTTCTAAAAAAAAAAAAAAAAACACAAAAACATAAAAATGTTGTTAGTTTTTGCTTAAAACAAGCAAAAACATCTGCCAGTGGGACAAGAAAAATATCTTAATTCAAAGGCTAAACCAGATTTTTAGTTTTTGCCCCATTGGCAGATGTTTTTGCTCGTTTTAAGCAAAAACTAACAACATTTTTATAATTTTTATTTTTTTTAGAAGACAAGACATGATATCTCAAGTCATTTTACTTGTCATGGGAATGCATCTTGATTCAAAAATGTTTAGATATTTATACTAGAAAACAAGATGAAAATACTAAGTAAGAGAATCATTCTGGCTTAATGCCGTGAGGTGGTGTTTGTAGTTTTGCTCATGCTTTCTGAGGATGAGGCCATGTTTACTTCCGGCACTTCTGCCGCATGACGGATCAATATAATGAAAATACCGTCAAATAATCCTAATTTAGCATTGATTTTCTCTGCCGTCTGTGGCCCTCTATTGCATGAGAGCATGACAATCCTAATGCAGCGATGAATGCTGGCTGAGAACAGTTTTTGCTCTTGTGCAGGAGGACACAATGGAAGTGGAGGAGTTTTTAAAAGAAGCTGCGGTCATGAAAGAAATCAAACACCCAAACCTGGTGCAGCTCTTAGGTGAGTCCATTTGTGCAGGGACTAAAGCTAACAAATTGTGGAAACGCATCACGTTTTTATTGATGATCAAATTATAAATAGTAAATCAATACAGTGTCACTGTAATACTAGTGAACTGTGAAGTACTTCTTCATAGTAAATAAATGTAATGTATTTATTAGTGCTGGGCAAAGATCAATCGCATCCAAAATAAACGTTTTGTGTACATAATATACAGTATGTGCGTGTTATTATGTGTATATAAATACACATGCATGTATATATTTAAGAAAAATATTTATATATTAAATATATGATTTATATAAATATATACATGTATGTGTATCTCATAGATGGTCTATCTACATGAACATTTGTATCTTCATCTTAACATAATTTATCTAGAAGCAGCATGATGTGCAAATGTAAAGCGCAAACTTTCTCAAATGACTCAAGCACATCAAATTACTGTATCAATGTAATGTGCTACATTAGTGGAAAAAATATCATTTTTACTGTAATTTGGAATTATAAGCAATTTTCAAAAAAGGCCAGTTCAATCGGGGTTGTTTGCAAATTTACATTTATTTTCAATTAAAACACACTCTAGATGAAGACAAAGTCTTAAACACTTGTTTCATAACTTAGTTCAGTTTAGAGATGACATTAATATGAAATAAGAATCATCATCGGTTCATCGCTGTTTGCAATTTCTAATTTTAAAGAGAAGAAAGTCACAAGAAACAGCCTTGATTTGAATATTATTTCTTAGTTAAACGAGAGGTCAAATAATGTCATAATAGTCGTCAAAGCAGCACTTTTGTAACCAATCCACTTCAACCAGTAATTAGAAGACTTCATGCAAAAAAAATGTATTTTCTTTAACGCAACAAGCCCACCATCTACGGCGTCTCGCCCAACTACGACAAGTGGGAGATGGAGCGCACAGATATCACCATGAAGCACAAGCTGGGAGGAGGGCAGTATGGAGAGGTGTACGAGGGCGTCTGGAAGAAATACAACCTGACCGTGGCTGTCAAAACACTGAAGGTCAGAGACACGTCGAGAACGCATCACACTGCAAAAAATGATTCTCTTACTTAGTATTTTCGTCTTGTTTTCTAGTATAAATATCTAAACATTTTTCAAAAAAATTGTTTAAAAAAAAAAAAAAAAAAGTTTTAAATTTTTGTTAGTTTTTGCTTAAAATTAACAAAAATATCTGCCAGTAGGACAAGAGAAATTATCTTGATTCAAAGGCTAAACCAGATTTTTTTGTTTTTGCCCCATTGGCAGATGTTTTTGCTCGTTTTAAGCAAAAACTAACATTTTTATAATTTTTATTTTTTTTAGAAGACAAGACATGATATCTCAAGTCATTTTACTTGTCGATGTATTTTCTTTCTTAGTATTTTCATCTTGTTTTCTAGTATAAATATCTAAACATTTTTGAATCAAGATGCATTCACATAAGATATTAAGTCTTGTTTTCTAAATAAAAACATCAACATTTTGCTAGTTTTTGCTTAAAACGAGTACAAATATCTGCCAGTGGGGTAAGAACAATGATCTTAATTCAAAGGCTAAACAATATTATTTTTCTTACATTTACATTTAGTCATTTTGCAGACGCTTTTATCCAAAGTGACTTACACTTGAATACATAAAGCGATTTATTTTTATTTTTTATACACAGGAAGTGCTCGTAAATCCCAAGTTTCAGCATTGTTTAAATAAGTACACGCTAGAAAGGGAAGGAATAAATAAGAGAAAGACACTTTTTATTTTTTTGCCCCATTGGAATTTTTTTTTTCAGAAAACAAGACATGATATCTCAAGTCATTTTACTTGTCATGGGAATGCATCTTGATTCAAAAATGTTTAGATATTTATACTAGAAAACAAGATGAAAATCAATGTATTTATTAGTGCTGGGCAAAGATCAATCGCATCCAAAATAAACGTTTTGTGTACATAATATACAGTATGTGCGTGTTATTATGTGTATATAAATACACATGCATGTATATATTTAAGAAAAATATTTATATATTAAATATATGATTTATATAAATATATACATGTATGTGTATCTCATAGATGGTCTATCTACATGAACATTTGTATCTTCATCTTAACATAATTTATCTAGAAGCAGCATGATGTGCAAATGTAAAGCGCAAACTTTCTCAAATGACTCAAGCACATCAAATTACTGTATCAATGTAATGTGCTACATTAGTGGAAAAAATATCATTTTTACTGTAATTTGGAATTATAAGCAATTTTCAAAAAAGGCCAGTTCAATCGGGGTTGTTTGCAAATTTACATTTATTTTCAATTAAAACACACTCTAGATGAAGACAAAGTCTTAAACACTTGTTTCATAACTTAGTTCAGTTTAGAGATGACATTAATATGAAATAAGAATCATCATCGGTTCATCGCTGTTTGCAATTTCTAATTTTAAAGAGAAGAAAGTCACAAGAAACAGCCTTGATTTGAATATTATTTCTTAGTTAAACGAGAGGTCAAATAATGTCATAATAGTCGTCAAAGCAGCACTTTTGTAACCAATCCACTTCAACCAGTAATTAGAAGACTTCATGCAAAAAAAATGTATTTTCTTTCTTAGTATTTTCATCTTGTTTTCTAGTATAAATATCTAAACATTTTTGAATCAAGATGCATTCACATAAGATATTAAGTCTTGTTTTCTAAATAAAAACATCAACATTTTGCTAGTTTTTGCTTAAAACGAGTACAAATATCTGCCAGTGGGGTAAGAACAATGATCTTAATTCAAAGGCTAAACAATATTATTTTTCTTACATTTACATTTAGTCATTTTGCAGACGCTTTTATCCAAAGTGACTTACACTTGAATACATAAAGCGATTTTTTTAAATTTTTTTTATACACAGGAAGTGCTCGTAAATCCCAAGTTTCAGCATTGTTTAAATAAGTACACACTAGAAAGGGAAGGAATAAATAAGAGAAAGACACTTTTTATTTTTTTGCCCCATTGGAATTTTTTTTTCAGAAAACAAGACATGATATCTCAAGTCATTTTACTTGTCATGGGAATGCATCTTGATTCAAAAATGTTTAGATATTTATACTAGAAAACAAGATGAAAATCATTTTTTGCAGTGTGTGTTTGAGTTTTTGGTCTATGAAGCATGATTCGTCCAATGATGTTCTGGAGGAATGTGCTTCTAAATGAAGCGTCCTTCACAAAGAGCCTGTGTTTTTCTCTGATGTCAGGTGTCTGCACACGGGAACCTCCGTTTTACATCATCACCGAGTTCATGACCCACGGAAACCTGCTGGATTACCTGCGTGAGTGTAATCACGAGGAGGTCAATGCTGTGGTGCTGCTCTACATGGCCACGCAGATCTCCTCCGCCATGGAATATCTGGAGAAGAAGAACTTCATCCACAGGTGATTTTTCAGATTTTATCGAGTAATTCAAATTTAATGTTTTGCCACAAGTTTATTTTTTAGAAATCGAAGAACTCGCGATTTTGAATAGAAATATTTCCAAATGTTAGAATTAGACACTTCTACAATATAACGGTGAAGAGAAAAGAACGCATGTCGGCGCACGTGATTAAGCGCTCTGTGAAGGACCAGACGTAGAATATAGCACTAAGCGCCTTCACACAGAATGTGCTTTTGTGTTGACAAAGATATGCGACGCAGGCAGTGGAAAGGGAAACACATGCAAGAAGATGGGAGTGAACTTGTTTTAACTTGAGCGGTGTTTGTAGAAAGCCGTTTGATGCATGAGACACGAGCGCAACTCTCAAATGTGTTCATGTTTACATAGAATAAACAATTGGAAAAACAGCGCAATCGAATATAAAACCTGTGAAGAACTACTACTGTATGACTGATATTTCATGTTTGCATCATGCTGACAGGCTAAAAGCTGCTGTTTGTTTTTACAGAACATTTATAGTTAATAACTGGTGTTACATATTTAGTCATCTTGAATTTGAATCACCTTGACTTTTGAGATTTTATTTTAAGCATTTTCCTTGTATTATTTCTGAACACATAATATGTATAAGACAAGTTTGCACAAGATGTAGTTGTAGTTCATGCATCTTTTCTGCAAAGATATTTCACAAGTCATTTGTTTAACATTTACAACCTGTGCGCTGCACTTGGAATATAATTTTCTTATACAGGGTTTATAAAGAAAAAGTTTCTTGAATCATGCTGTAGTTACATTTTCAAGTTGACTAGTTAAAAATCGTAGAAAACATCAAGAATCGGTCAAACGTTCTGAAAAATCGAGATTTAAATGTTTTGCCATATCGCCCAGCCCTAGGACAAAGGGACAACATAGTATTAGTAATAGTAGGAAGTGACGCGTTTCCAGTTACGATCTGGCTCTTGTTTCAGGGATCTGGCTGCCCGTAACTGCTTAGTTGGGGAAAACCACTTGGTTAAAGTGGCAGATTTTGGACTGAGTCGCCTGATGACTGAAGAAACCTACATAGCCCATGTAGGAGCCAAGTTTCCCATTAAATGGACCGCCCCGGAGAGTCTGGCCTATAACAAATTCTCCATCAAGTCAGACGTGTGGGGTAAGCAGAAGTCAATGAATTCACTTCCCAGGTCGAGATGTATCGGTGTTATCTCATGTGTAAAGCTGACATTTTTGCTTGAACTCTTTAGCATTTGGAGTCCTGCTTTGGGAAATCGCCACCTATGGGTTGTCTCCGTATCCTGGAATCGACTTGTCCCAAGTGTACGAGCTACTAGAGAAAGATTACCGCATGGACAGACCCGAGGGATGCCCAGAGAAAGTCTATGAGCTCATGAGGGCCTGTAAGTAGCTCTTTAGATCAGGACCTAAAGGTAGACAAGCTTAAGTGTTTGAACAAGATAATTACAGTTAAATGTGACCTATTATGCCCCTTTTAACAAGATGTAAAATAAGTCTCTGATGTCCCCAGAGTGTGTATGTGAAGTTTTAGCTCAAAATACCTCACAGATCATTTTTTATAGCTTGTTAAAATTGCCACTTTTAAGGGTATCAGCCAAAACGTTTTTGAGACGTATGAGCGTTTTTGTGTTTGTCCCTTTAAATGCAAATGAGCTGGTGCTCCCGCCCCCCTTTTCAGAAGAGGGTGGAGCTTTAAGAGCTGGCAAAAACAAGACCGGACAATCTCACGCACTGAAATCCATGTATCATCCGTTCACTAGTTTTTTTTATTTAATATTAAAAGTAGAAAAAAGAGAGAACTGCTCCTTTTCTAATTTTTTCCCAAGAAACGAAAAACAAGAATTCGGCTTAATTTTTAGTTTTTCGTTCTGGGGTAGAAAAATGAATAAACCGCTTGAATATTCGATTTCTACATGTGAAAGTCTATGAGCTCATGAGGGCCTGTAAGTAGCTCTTTAGATCAGGACCTAAAGGTAGACAAGCTTAAGTGTTTGAACAAGATAATTACAGTTAAAGGTGACCTATTATGCCCCTTTTAACAAGATGTAAAATAAGTCTCTGATGTCCCCAGAGTGTGTATGTGAAGTTTTAGCTCAAAATACCTCACAGATCATTTTTTATAGCTTGTTAAAATTGCCACTTTTAAGGGTATCAGCCAAAACGTTTTTGAGACGTATGAGCGTTTTTGTGTTTGTCCCTTTAAATGCAAATGAGCTGGTGCTCCCGCCCCCCTTTTCAGAAGAGGGTGGAGCTTTAAGAGCTGGCAAAAACAAGACCGGACAATCTCACGCACTGAAATCCATGTATCATCCGTTCACTCGTTTTTTTTATTTAATATTAAAAGTAGAAAAAAGAGAGAACTGCTCCTTTTCTAATTTTTTCCCAAGAAACGAAAAACAAGAATTCGGCTTAATTTTTAGTTTTTTGTTCTGGGGTAGAAAAATGAATAAACCGCTTGAATATTCGATTTCTACATGTGGGCGGGAATTGACCGTTAACAAGGAGCTTGATTGACAGGCGATCTGACCAATCAGAACGCGAATATAATGTACCGCCGCTGCTATCCGCCATCTTGCCCGACAGCTACGGCCGGTCTCCACAGAAATCCATGTTAAAACGGGGTAAAAATGATCGACTGAATTGAAACTTTTTCAATATAATTAAATATAAAAATGTGTGGAGGGTTAAGCTGTGCTGTTGTAGGCTGCCACAGAAACGGCAATAAGCGAAGGAATTCCTTTAAAGCGTTTTTTGTGTTCCGCGGTTGACATAAAACACTTTCTGATGTTTATTCATGTTCATTGCGTGCTTCACATAAATATGAAAAGACGATCGGTTCACGTGGCAATACAGCGATCTGTCACGACACATTAAAGAACCACAAAATGATATTTATTGTTTGAATTTCTTTAAAAATTACACAATTTAAAAGCTGAGAGTCCTGAGACCTTGTTTCATAGCAGAAGTAACCAGCTCCGTCTTGTCTGTCGGTGTGTTGTCAGTTTCCTCTGCGATGTATTTTTCACTGCGTGAGAACATGTGTGTAGTGTGAGAGCAGCATTGTTTGTCGGGGATAGCAACAGTAACTAAGGAGGGCGTGTCTTTGCGAACGGTCAATTAAACGCCCCTTTCTGCTGATTGGTCAGCCGAAGATCAACCGTGCCGTCATCAGTTCTTCCGCAGTTCCTCGAGGAAGAATAATAGTCCTCCGGGTGTACGGTTTCTTAATGCGTGATGACGACGTAGCCGATGAAAAGTAGCCGTTTTCACATTTTTCTATTTTCAATATTAAATCAAAAAAACCTTCTGCTAATTCATGCCTGAACGCTAGGTGGCGCCGAATAACAATGTATTTTTCCTCCGATATGGATTTAACATCGTCCACTACTCAATATACAGCTTTAAATGAATAAAGCTAAAGTAAGTTTGGTTTTACACCAGAAATACAAACTATCTATAATGCTTACAAGTCCTTTAGCCTTAGTGCCAAGAAGCTTTTTCAGAAATGCAATTTGGAAAACAAAATATGGCGCGCTTGCTTTGGAGCTGATGGTCGTGCACGAAGCGTTGGAATTGATCCCTCTTTCAGAATCAACTTTTGCAAAAGTCCAGCGTTGACCTAACCCTCCTTTGTTAAGCAGTCCGGTGTAAAATGATTGGCACAAACATAGGACTTGTGGCGCTGACATTGTGTATCTCCAGCAGCTACAGCAGGAAAACAGTAAAGGTGGACTGCTTTTTCTCACTCAGGGCTGTGTCTATGCTAATAGGGCAGAGAACGTCACAAATGGGCGGGATTTCTCCCTAAATCTGGAATTGCGTGTTCAGAGAGACTGTTTATGATTTATTGGGATTATAAAAATAAAAATTAGTGGGTGGATTTTTACCATTATAGGCTGGTTGTTTTTGCACACCGTGTTCAAACACCTTATAAAAGTGAATTTTGCACAATAGGTCCCCTGTGAACTGTATTAATACAGGCCCTTTGGACTGACCTGTGCGTTTCTGTCTTTAGGTTGGAGGTGGAACCCTGCAGAGCGGCCTTCTTTTGCTGAAACCCACCAGGCGTTTGAGACGATGTTTCAAGAGTCCAGCATCTCCGACGGTGAGACTCTATCTCTGGAGATTTAGAGAAATGAATGTGTACTTTCTTGTGGCTCATCTTCACTTTTAATGGGTTGCAGAGGTGGAGAAAGAGTTGGGCAAAAAGGGTAAGAAGCTGACACTGGGTCCGATACAGCAGGCTCCAGAACTTCCCACTAAGACGAGGACACTGCGAAGACATACGGACAGCAGGGATGGCGACAGTCCCGGTAAGCGGCGCTCTCCCAACATTCACAGTGAATTCTGAGCTGCTTTTCTGCAGACTGATGAAGCTGTACCTTTTCCAGACGCAGCAGAGGCCGAGGTAACCGGGCCCCCGATGCTCCCGAGGCCTGTCCTTGATAGCAACTTAAACGAAGACGATCGCCTCCTAGCCAAAGATAAAGATAAGTTCCGAATGAATCCGTTCAGTTTAATCAAGAAAAAGAAGAGAACGGCTCCGGCACCACCTAAACGCAGCAGCTCCTTCGGGAAGATGGATGGGCAACTGGATCGTAGAGGACTGGCTTCCGAATGCAGAGATGATTTTAACAATGGCGCTTCCACTAACGACGGCATCGACCCTTCTAAATTGGTCGGCTCCAACAGTACAACGATTGTCGGAGTCACCAATGGAGCCATGGTTTTTCCCGGTCAGCTCTTTCCATCTCATTCACGGAAAAAGGGGACAACATCGGCCGGCGGAGGGAAGCTTGCCACGACTCCACCTGCAGAAGAAGACCCCATGTCAAACTCCAAGCGCTTCTTAAGGTCTTCTTCCACCTCTAGCATGCTTCCGGGGTCCGAGCGCACCGAGTGGAAGTCGGTCACCTTGCCCCGTGATATCCAGTTGTCTCACTTCGACTCGGGAACCTTTGGAGGAAAGCCAGCTCTGCCTCGCAAGAAAGCCGATTGTGTGCCCCGTGGTGGCACCCTTACTCCGCCACCGCGCCTTCCCAAGAAAACCGACTCGGATGCACCAGACGAAGTGTTTAAGGACTCGGAGTCTAGTCCTGGATCAAGTCCTTTGACTCGGACACCGAAGCTCAGCCATCGGACGGAAAGCTCCAAAACGAGCGCCTTGCAAGCAGAGCTGTTCAAACCCAATGTGCTTCCTCTTCCAGGAGACGAATGCAGACCTCGTAGGCTCAAGAACTCTTCCGAAGTCCCTGTACAAAGAGACCGAGAGAAGGGGAAGTTCGCCAAACCCAAACCAGCTCCTCCTCCGCCTCCGGTCTCGAGCGGCAAATCCGGAAAGACTTCGAGGAGTCCCACTTTTGACGTTTCTTCAGATACCAAAGCCAAAGGCTCGTCTGAACACAACCCTCCAAGTTCCGGATCCGCAGAACAAGGCAAAGGCATGAGTCTTTCCCAAGAATGTGCTAAGAATGTACCAAAAAACACCTCAAAAGTGCAGCCCCCAAAGACGACTTCTATATCCCCAAGCAGTCAGCTGCCAGGAATGGGAACCGGATCGGCTGCCGGTGATCCGGGATCCAATTTCATTCCCCTCATGACGACCCGCCGCTCACTAAGGAAGACGCGCCAGCCGTCGGAGCGGCTCTCCAACTCCTGCATCACGCGCGAGATGCTCTTGGAGAGCACCGAGCTCCTGCGAGCCGCCATCGGCCGCATTACGGAGCAGACCGGCAGCCATAGCGCGGTGCTGGAAGCCGGCAAGAATCTGTCCAAGTATTGCGCGACCTACGTCGAGTCCATCCAGCAGATGCGCAACAAGTTTGCTTTCCGCGAAGCCATCAATAAGTTGGAGAGCAGCCTGCGCGAGCTGCAGATCTGCCCCGCCGCCACCGGGGGAGCCAACACGCCTCAAGACTTTTCAAAGCTGCTTTCCTCCGTCAAGGAGATCAGTGACATTGTTCAGAGGTAGCGGAGAAGAGCACGGATGCGACCGGTGTCATCTGCGTGTCTGGGGCTTCTCTGGTGATGTGAGCCACCTCGGCTTTTCTCATGCCAAATAGAGGAACGTTTCCGAACGGTTCAGTGTCTTATTACTGTGCACAAGTGCAGGGGAACCGTTCCACTTGGCGATCTTAAGGTAGCCCAGGTTCAAGTCGTAGTGACTTGATTGAGTCTCTGTAATTCCTTGACTTTCCTCACTGCAAAAAATGGTTTTCTTTCTTAGTATTTGTCTTGTTTTCTAGTGTAAATGTCTTCAAATTCTGGAATTAAGATGCTTACTTGACAAGTAAAATGACTTGTCTTGATTTCTGAAAAAATTTAGTTTTTGCTTAAAACAAGTAAAAATATCTGCCAGTGGGGCAAGAAAAATAATCTTGTTAAACCTTTGAGTTGATATTATTTTTCTTACACCATTGGTAGATATTTTTGCTCGTTTTAAGCAAAAAATAACAAAATTTTTATATTTTTTCAGAAAATAAGACAAAATATCTTAAATCATTTTACTTGTCAAGTAAATGCATCCTGATTCAAGAATTTTTAGATATTTAAACTAGAACACGACAAAACTACTAAGCAAAAAACTATTTTTTGCAGTGGCTTCTCTGCGTTTTCTCAAAGTATTTGTTAAAAACAGCAGTATTTCATGACTGACAGAAAAACAACTCATGTGCCTCACACTTCCAAACATTTTTACGGGATCAAAATGTATTTTCTGAAGTACATTCACAATTGATAAAGACTGTTTAGCTTCGTTTTCTTCGTGTGGTTGGTCAATAAAGCGCTTTGTTGCGAGATGTGAACGGTCCCTGTGATATGAGGAACTTCGTTTTGTAATCGAGTGATCGCGTATTGTATGATTGCGACATTGACCTTTGCAGTCGTAAAGTCGGTTTTCCCATCTTTTCCAGGCCCGTCAGGGGTTTTGAACAAGTGTTGCTTCAGCACAATCACAACATAAACACTTTTCCGAAAATACAGTTGCCGTAAAGAGACTTGCTGAACATGGCTCACGGGTCAGTGAACGAAGCACACTACTGTCTCAAGGAGAACGACTTGGGAGTGAGAATCGCCGCTTAAGATGCAGTACATGTATAGATGTGTTTGTAATGTCCTCTGAAGGATCTTCAGTTACCACTGCAGTTGTCCTTTCCAAGGTTTTCCACACAGCACTGACTGAAGCGCTCCGGGATCACAGATTTGTAAGGAACAGCTTTATCCAAAGACCACAAGCCACATGATTCTCGTCGAGACTAAAACTTTCCAGTCTGTTGTGCTTGTGTAATTGAAATAATGCAGTTGTTTTCAGTATTAGTTCATCTGACAGGCCAACCACAAGCTGCCTTGAGTTCAACATGGTACTACCAGTGTTGACATTTCATGGGTTTTTTTATCTCTTAAAATCATGCCACTACTTTTTAATTTGTATTCAAGCCTCTCACTTTTGAAGACTAATTGCTCGTCTTTGTAAATACACGTCACCTATTTTCAGTCGATTCTTTCTGTAACGTTGGTGCAGTTTGTTGCATAAAATACAAAGCAATTTTGCTACTTGAACAACGTCAAGGGTTTGTTTCTGTCAGCGTGCTCGTATTGTCTGCTTTCGCATGATACGCAGGTGTTCATTTTCATTTTAAGTGCTTATTCAGAATGAGGCAGAAACGCTCTATCTAGAGCATTTTTATTGTCATCATTAAAATCTAAATGTCAACATTTTAAAATCATATACACACATAAACAGATTTTTCAACCGTTAGCACAGCTCCTTAAGTTTATACATATGTACTGTTTTTACTCGTGTGAACAGCGAGAGGTCATTCAAACAGTTCAAAAGGACTAGCTCAGTCTGAGATCTGATCTCCATCGGTAAGACTTTCTGTAGAAGTTGCCTCGCGTCTCTTCAGAGAGTTTATGAGAGAGGCGTCTGCTGTGTTTCATCAACAGATACAGCCTTATGTACAGCAGCTGAATCAGATCCGAGTTAAGACACAGATGCTGCTTCAGAAGAAGCTGTGCGTGGTGCTGTTAATATACAAGCCGATGCACTGATGCTTACTGTACAGCCTACATGACTGGAGCCGTTTCCGTCACATTTCATCGATCTATACAAAAACAGTAGCAGTGTTGTGAAACCGTTAGTTTAACTCAAGTCTGAACTGCATGTTGAGCTAGTTGAGATTAAACGGTGATGGTAATAATATTAAGATGAATGAATAACAATAAGGCAACTCAAAATAACAGTGGTGAGGACAGACGAATGTATACTGATATGATGAAGGGGCAGAAGAATCAATCTTTCCATAAAGTGTCTTTGATTTATAAAGCTGTCCGACCCAAACCGACTCTCGCTCATGCATGCGCTCGCATGTCGACATGCACGTGATTGCGAGTTCACAAACAGGAGACTTCCATTCAGTTTTGGGATCAGTGCAACCACTGCACGTTTACAGATGCATGAATGCAACGCATTATTCTGAGCACAGGTGCATTTAAAGGGGTGGTTCACTGGGTTTTTTCTAGGCTTGATTGTGTTTAAACGTGTGAATCCATTAGAATCGTTAGAAGACAGAATCATGATTCATATATGAATAGATTTTTACGTGCACCTCTAGTTCTCTCTTTCTCTTCTCTAAAGCAGCGCAGCATGGCCCCGCCCCCTTTGCTGCCTTTTCCCGAGGGCGGGGTTTATCTGGGTTTGTGATGTCACGAACCCAGGAAGTAACGTGTTGTAGTCCCCACCAGTCGTTTTTGTAGGCATTAAACTGACAGAATTTTAAGACGATATCTCCGTTTGCATTGAACTTTCAGCTTCGTAACTTTGCAGATATTGTTTATGCTCAAACAGCAACATTACACACTAACTAACATTAAAAAAGTGAAATCGCAATCAACCACCCCTTTAAAACTGCAATGCATTATTCTGCACTCTCGACCAAGTGCTCTTTAGCAGCAGGAGCGTTAGACGGGCATCTGACCCGAACAGAACGGTTCTCCTGCGCACTTTCACAGCCTTGAACACGTCACAAACCACTTCGGCTTTCATACGGCAGCAGAAACGCATTTGATCTTCTCAATACGATCCTAATGCAGCCATGGGTCTCGTTTCTGTGACGTCACATCGTTGCTATAAAATGCATCAATAAAAAGAGTCTGAACTGAAGTGTGACGTGATGAGCAGAGGTTAGTGCGGTCAGAGGATGATGGGAACGTAAGAACACCGACCAGAGAGAGTGAGGACGGCCAGATGAAGAGAGAGAAGGGAATGAGCGCATGTAGCCGTGATCCTCCCCTCTCTGGGACGGCCGAGTGTGTGATGGAGGAGGAGGAGGATGAAGGTCATGGCATTAACAGCCACACCCTTCCCTCTGCGGCTGTGGTTCGCTGGTGAGCCGGCCTCCCTGCGGCGCCGACGGTTTGTGCTGCACGCCCGACTCGGCCGCGTTCAGATCCAGACTGCCGTCTTGGATGTTCTGATAGATCTTCTTCGCTGCTTCCAGAAACGCGTCTTCCACATTCTCTCCTCTGTGAGCACAAACACACAGTCAGCATCTATACGCTCACGTGAGAGACAAACTTGATGTTGGTGTGGGAAAACCCAAACTGATCTCACGAGAAGATGCCGTTAAACCTACATTTATTCAGACACCTTTCTCACATTATCAGTTTAATCGCTATAGTTTAGAAAATGTTAAAAACTCAAAGAGTTAAACGGCGTCAGAACAAATCCATCTTGATGATGTCTGATAACTTTGATAGAAAGGTATGTAGTGAATTCGGTTGAATAGCTGTCAGCTGTTACATTTAAGGACACAATTAGATAATACCAATTTAGCTCAACTAATTACCAAGCACTGCTTCATTTTGTTCAGTCTGTGGTGTAAAAAGATTGCATTAGCAATTAAAGAAAAAAACACATGCTCAGCTCAAAGTGTCTGAATAATGTTTGCTCCCTAGTTTTACTGGTAGTCCGCTGTATGAAGAATGTTTGGCTGTAATATCTCACCGTTCACTTTATTTTACTCTCCTCACATTTATGAACTATAGTGTCCTGCACCTGCTAGTAAAAACATCAATATAATTTTTGGTTCGACTGTATTTTACAAGGTGGCAATTTATGATGGCAAAAAATAAGCAAACCAATTAAACTACTAAAGCATGCTTAAAAACGTGCTAAAATGTTATATTCATGCCATTAACATGCTAGCATTGTGTTAAAGCAGGTTGCTAGTGTTCTATGGATGGATGGATAGCGTACGGTGCAGTTTGCAGGAGGAAGAAGTGTCAGAAATGTTATTCTCTGAAAGTTTAACACAGTGTTGGCTTTTGTCTCTGTGATGTTTCTAAAAGCATTTTATCTTAATTATGAAAATTCTATGGTATCAATTTAATATCATAAAAACCTTATTATATATTTATATTAACTATGTGTGTCCCTGCAGCACAAAAGCAGTGTTAAGTCGCTGGGGGATATTTGTAGCAATAGCCAACAATACATTGTATGGGTCACAATTATACATTTCTCTTTTATGCCAAAAATCATTAGGATATTAAGTAAAGATCATGTTCCATGAAGATATTTTGTAAATGTCCTACCGTAAATATATCAAAACTTAATGTTTGATTAGTAATATGCATTGCTAAGAACTTCATTTGGACAACTTTAAAGATGATTTTCTCAATATTTAGATTTTTTTGCTCCCTCAGATTCCAGATTTTCAAATATTGTCCGATCCTAACAAACCATACATCAATGGAGAGCTTATTTATTCAGCTTTCAGATGATGTATAAATCTCAATTCTGAAAAATGTACCCTTATGACTGGTTCTGTGCTCGAGGGTCACATATCGTAATATATATCGTGATATAAAATGACTCGTATCGTGATATAAGATTTTGGTCATATCTCCCACTCCTCATTCCGGTAAGTGCTGTTTTCTTCATAAACTGGTTGTGTGATTGAACACGCTCTCTGATGATTAATGTGTGTGGCTGGAATCGCTCACGTTTTAGCGCTGGCCTCCAGGAACAGCAGACCTGTGAACACAAACACGCGTGAGATGGGAACGGCGTCATGTGACCCGTCATGCGACAGACGCTGCGCTCACCGTTCTCTTCGGCGAACTGCTTAGCCTCTTCATACGTCACGTCTCGCTGCGCTTCCAGATCCGCTTTGTTTCCTATGAGAATGATGACCTGCACAAACAGCAGATTGTTGTTATAGGCTTTGATGCGGCACGTTAGGACAGTAAACTGATGCCTCGTTCTATTTATGACGTCCTGACAAAGAATTTAAAATCTGTCTAGAAAAGCCAAGGTAGGCATTTGTTCACGTTCTAATAGTTATCAGGCCGACGCAGATTTGACAGCATGTGATTGAAGTTGTTACAAATTTTTGGCATTGAATTAAGTTTCTTATTTAGGCTACTTTCTTATTTAACTGTAGCTTATTTATTTTAGTGTTTTGCAGGCTGTGTTTCCGTATTTACTGACGAAAGTGCTCAAATATAGACTCACGTTTGTTAATAGATGTTTGAGCCTTATTTATGCACATACCCTCTGCTCATACTCACAGTATTGGGGTTGGTGAGGTTCCTGGCGTCGGTCAGCCAGCTGCTGAGGTGGTTGTATGTGCTTCTCCTGTACGACACACACAGAGCATGAGTTTCCAGCTTCACCACAGCCTCAGCGAGACACCTGGATGACTGACGTACCTGGTGATGTCGTAGACCATCAGCGCTCCCGCTGCTCCTCTGTAGTAGCTGCGCGTGACGGCTCTGAAGCGCTCCTGCCCCGCCGTGTCCCAGATCTGCAGCTTGATCTTCTGACCGCTCACCTCCATGATCCTGGTGCCGAACTCCACGCCGATGGTGTGCGGACAGTCGGCCATAACTGCTCATGAACAACAACAACAACAACTGCTGAGTCAATCACAGCTCTGATGAACATCGACACTAGCTATGTTTCCATCATAGCTATTTTAAAGGTGACATATCATGAAAATCTGACTTTTCCAGGTTGTAAGTGCTATAATCAGGTCCAAGGTGCATCTACCAACCAAGGAAACATGAAAAAGATGAACCCAGTAACTTTGTTTTGGGAAGCCTTTTTCTGCAAGCGTCTGAGAAAACCAGCGCGTCTGATTTCGCTCTCTTGGTGACGTGACAAAGATCTCATTATAATATCACACACTCAAAATAGGCATTTTCAAAATGATATAATAAATGATCTGTGGAGAATTTTGAGCTGAAACGTCACAGACACATTCACCAGAGACATATTACATATTGTAAAAAGGGGCATAATATGTCTCCTTTAATGCGCATTTTGAAGTATCACATAAGAAACGTGTGATGCAAACTCCAAATTTCGAATAAAAATCCCTTAATTTGCAAAATAGTTTACACGCTCGCTTGAGCTAGTTATTGACTTGTGCGAAAAAGGGTTAATGCGAATAATAGGAGATGGAAATGCATTTTGCAAATAAATTCCTCCAAGCGCATCAAAAAAGGCATGTGACTTTGCGCTATGGGACGGCAAATCCTAACTAACCAGCGGACCGATCTCATTCACAGCATCTGAAAGGCTAGTTTTGTCATTCTTAAATGCTTGAGCAAAGTCTCGTCAAAGTGCTTCGTTATAATTAACTCCCAGAACTGCATTCCCAAACAGCAGACTCAGAAAATAAATAACATGACCGCATTTCGTCTGCGTGATCTGAAGCTCGTAATTTATTGTATACAAAAATTATGTAGAGTGCCTTCTCCTGCAGCAGGAAAATTTAATTTTTCTTCGTGATATTTAGCGCAAGTTAATCAAGAAGTGACGATTTTGTTCTCTTCAACTCACTGGATGTAAACTAGTGCTTTATTCACAAATGTTTTATGCAAAATTCCAATTTTACGCAATTCAAAATTTTGGATGGAAACATAGCTACTGATCTCAGTAATGACTCGGTCTTCTGTAGAGCTGCTTTACAGTTCAAAATGAATTTGACTTATATTTGACGACGTTGCTTTTTGGAGTATCGCATCAGAAACGAGTGATGGAAGTGCCATATTTTAATAAAATAAATATTATTGTGTTTCGTCTGCTCGCTCTGAGGCGCAAGTAATTTATTATAAATGAAAATGATTATATATTCAGTGGCTTCTACTTTTCTTAGTGATTTTTAGTGCCAGTTTATCAGGATTTTGTTCTCTCTGACTCGTTGGATTGAAACGGTGCTTATTCGCAAATGTTTCGCAAATGCAAAAAGTTAAGTTCACAACTTTGGAAGGATAACTTTGCTATTTTCCACTATGAAGCTGCTTTTAAACGATCTGGATAAAAATGAGGGACTGAAGCGAGACTGACTGGACGACTTTTAACGTCATGATTCATTTCAGTTTAAACTTTTAAGACGAAACTGATTATTGTTATAAAAGCGGTTATTTGTAATCTTACATCATATTTATTGTTCAGGGTTTACAGCATGGGTTTCAAAGGCAAGGTCAGAGAGAAGTCAAGATCCAGTTAAATATAATAAATAACTTATAAATGATATTGATTAAACATTATCAGGTCAACACATAAAAAAAGATGTTCATGTTCACAATCAGATCTATAACATGCATTTCCACTGTATGCTGACTTCACTTGATTAACCATCTACAACCCTAGCTTTAATGGTCTCTTGATGTAAACTAACTAGACATTAGACAGGTGTGACGTGTCTCAGTGTTTGTAGGGCACCGTGTTAACTTAAACACAGCTCAGATCGTACTACTAAGAAGAACTTGAGAAGGATGTCAGCATTAGGAAAGCGTCTGAATCTGCATGAATTCACATTAGTGTGAGATTATGTGTGTGTTGTGCACGTTTACACGTGAAGCGGTGACCATACACAAACTACTAGTGAACGATTAAAACTACTGGACCATCGGCAACCCCGCGTGTAAGCCTTGTATCTGCTGCTGCTGATGGTGATGATGATAAAGGAGACGCAGCGCTTCATTCAGACGGTCAGTAATGATGCAAAAAAACCCAGGTGTGTCACGACCCTTTAAACCCGCCGTCACGCGCTGATCGTTTCACACAATCGCACACAGAGGCTGTTTCTGTGGAGCACAAGGCTCGCTTGTGTGATCTGCATGGCGTGTGCTTAACATGCTGACGATCCCGGTTCACACTCACACTTCTTCTCGGTGAACTGGTGCAGTAAGCAGGACTTCCCGACGCCCATGTCTCCTGTGAAGAGAGATCAGACGTGAGAGACGCCACACACACACATGAGCGAAACACGTCGTTGCTGCCGATTCACTCACCGATGATGATGTACTTGAAGATGTAGGAGTAGTTGTAGGGTGCCGTGGCCATCGCCGCTCTGAAACACACACACACACACACACACCGCAGTTACACGAACACGCCTCTGATCACGTTTGACCTGCATTAAACACACGCTGATTCATGCCATTATTACTGTAGTGTATTCAAGTGCTTATGAACAAAAGAAGCTTTAAGACTCTAATTAAAAATAAAAAGGTTTTCTATTAAAAGTAAAAGTTGCATGGTTTTACACTTGAAGATGAAAGGTTTAAAGCCCCGTTCACACCAAGCACGATAAAGATATAGCGCAAAAAATCGTTCACAATTTTAAAGAATAAAAGTTCACACCACAACGATAACGATATAGAGGAACGATATCGTTGCGATCACTTTTACAACAATTTTTTTCTAGCTAATGAACGATAAAAACATTGACAGCCAATCAGAATCCATCCTGGTATAACGAGCTTGAGAATTTAAAGCGGCAGATACGCGTGCGCTTAAAATAAACAGACGATATCATCCGCTGGTGTGGACGCTAATATCGTTATATTTATATTCAGCCGCAGATCGACTGAGAACGGGAGACGTTTCACTTCAGCGCCAGGCGCGAGTCAAACAAGCTCTCAAGCGCGAGGGAAAAATTACTTTATAGCTTTAAGCATTTAGTGTTTGATAACTTTAATTTCTGTATATTTCTGCTGAAGGGCACAGGTAAATATGACACTTATTATAATGGGTTTACGTGAAGATTGTTTTAAGTTCACTTAAATTAGAAGTAATTTTTTAAAGTCTAATAAATGTTAAAATTGATAGCTCTCAATTATACTGTAATGCTGAATGGCTAGTCAATGGTTAAATATGTGGGGGGGGGCAATTTGATAGAGAGATCAGAGATCACTCATAAATAAAGATGCCATTAAACACATATTAAAAATCATTATGTTGCTTGTACATTAATTTGAAGATTGAATGTGAAATTATTGCAATATAAAAGTATATTTAAAAACTTTACTGTTAGGTGGGATTAATCGCGATTTCAGAAAAATGCAATTAATTAGTTAATTTTTTGAATCGTTTGACAGCACTAATTTATATATATATCTTTATAGTTATCGTGCTTGGTGTGAACGGGCCTTAAGACAGTCATCATTTTACAGTAATGTAAAAACGTTACTGTATTATTTTTCTTAAATACATCAATTATTGTTTTTTAGATTCTACAATGAAATAGTCATATTATCAATTAACAACAACAATAGTTATAATTTTATATACGTCACAATTTTTACCAGAAAAATCAATTCTTTATTTTAAGGTGTCCTTGTTACAGTGTAATTATACATTTAAGTACTGAGTAATATTAATTAACTACATGTACTTACTATATGGTTAGGGTTACTTCTATGTATGCATAATTTGTTATTACACAAGGACACCTTAAAACAAAGTGTTACCCAATATTGTGTAAAATAAATACACTTGTAATAGAACTATGTAATTACACACGGTTATGTGTGTCATATTGTGTGCAGCATTTTAACTTATGACTCAATCAGCGGAGTACAAATACACTAGTATTAGCTCTCAAAGGTTTTGAATATCAACGCAACTGAAAATTGTGTTTTATTCCATGTTTATGCCCTTACAAATATCTTTTAATTGTAGACCAATTATCATAAAACTGCATTTGATGCCACGAACGAGGAGAACAAGTGATTATCAGTCTTTACACAGCAGGAGTTCTGTAAGTGAGCTCTAGGTTTATTCCCACAGGTTTCCTGGGGTGCGGATGAAAACTTATTAATAATAATAATAATAATAATAGTCATCATCCAAACATAACCAGTACATTGTCTAGAGCAAACATAATGACACGAGCAGATGAACATCAGAAACACAGACAAACAGATCAGTGCCAAAGCTGGTTTATTATTTTATTACAAAAATAAAATACAAATGACTATAGACACAGCAGACGTCTTGCTGAAGAAGCGACCGTAGAAACGCCACACAGCTCTCAGTGCTGGATCATCATCATCATCATCATCATCATCACTAGCTGCGATCAGAAACGCTCACGGACCGTCAGAAGAGTCAAGTAAATACGGGACACTACTGTTATGAATGAGAACGAAGTAAAAGCTCGACGTGCTTACAGAAGAACTGGTTTGCGCTGTGATTTGGCTCGAAATTAAACGTCTCTTTTATTAATCACACATTTGACAACAGACTTGGAGCTGCTCGATGTCAAAGGTTTCATATTTCAGAGCACCAGAGTAACGTGACCGGCGGTGCTCAAAACAACGTCTGCAATCATCGTGACGCCGGAAAACACTACTGATCCAAAACAAACCGAGTTAGAAGACAAACTCAGACAAACAAACGTCACGACTCTCACTCGAACACAGTAGTCAGTGTCCGGTGAAGACACAGGGACGGAGTCGAGTATTGCTCGTTACTGCAGCTCACAACAGAGAGTCCTGGGTTTTTGCATAGCCTAGTCAGTTAGTTAGTCTGGATCTCCACTGGGAAAGGCACAGAGTCTGTAAACGTTGTGGGAATTGGGCTGGAGTCGAAGACTCACTCACTCACTCACTCACTCACACTCACACACACACACACACACACACACACTCACTCACACAGACAGACACACACTCACTCACTCACACACACAGACAGACACACACACACGCGCACACACACACGCGCACACGCGCGCACACACGCGCGCGCACGCGCGCACACACACACACACACACACACACACAAGTCCTGTCTGCTATATTTCACGCGTTCTCTTGTGTTTGTGCAGAGTTGGAGCTGTTAGCATGAGCGGCTAGCGGCTGACTCGCGCCTCAGGATGGAGAGAACAGCCGCTCCGCTGGTGTGTGTGAGTCGCGTGCTGTCACCTGTAGTCGCGTGTGTTTGCTGTAGATCAGTGTGTCACTGTCCAGCTGCTGTTTATCCGGATCCTGGTGAAGATGGCGGCGGCACAAAGACTGACGCAGTTCCGCGGCGCGAGGGAACAAGCTTCACTGCACTCGGTCTGTTAAAGGCGTCATGACACGAGAAACCACATGTGTCTCGATCTTATGGCTTATAAGAGGTCTTTGTACCATTAAAACATCCTGCACGTTTCGTAGCTTAAAACGTCTTCTTCTTCTTCTTCTTCTTCTTCTTCTTCTTCTTCTTGGGGTTTTAGCGGCGGATGGCACACAGCTTCAGGTGCATTACCGCCCCCTACTGATGCGGAGGGTGTGTCAGGATCATAATAAACTCTTGAATATAAAATGTTCATCAAATCAAATGTCGCTTTATTTTCCTTAAGGTCATCAATCAGTATATTTCTGTCCTTGCTGTATCTGGGACATTTCATTAAAACATGTCCTACATTTTCCTCCTGAATACAGTATTCACACGTCACAGTTTCATGTAAACCGGTTCTCTTCGATGTTAGCGCTTTGAGTGCAGGCGTGTTAACTAATCAACTAAACCTGTGCTAATATGTGCTTTCATTTTAATCATTAAGATGAGTAAACGTTACCACATGTGTAAAAACTATGCATTTAAGCGTTTGAGAATTTAAAAGTAACCTAATAAACATATAATACGGAACGACAGTATACAGATACATGAAGTCGTCATAACTGCATTATTGTAGTTATTATCATTATTATCGGGAATAAAGGGGACTCTGTATTCGTCTGAAAGAAGAAAGGCTTCAGGGTGAGTAAATCATGTGCTAACTTTCCTTTTTAGCTGAACTGTCCCTTTAACAAACAGAGCGTTTAAGAGCTGAAGAGGAATGATTAATCTGACACAGGTTTGAGTCCCTGCATGTCTGGAGCCTGCTCTGAGTTCTTCATGCTGTAAGACTGAATCACTTGGAAGAGAAATAGTAAGACGGCGCCGTGTTTACACTCATTTCTGCTGCCACTTTCTATGAAACTAGGCCAGAG